CATACAAATGCTTCATAAAGTTGCCTCAGGGGGAGGGTTGTCTTGGGTACCTGAGTCACTATAAGACTGATCAGTATGTCTTTTCAGGCTTCACTTTATCAAGTCACATACTTATCTCAAAGGTATCAGACAAATGGGAAATGGAAAACCTGAGTTTTTACATATACAAACTTTTACATGTAGCTGCAAGTACCTGACTATTGTGAAAACATATAATTATTTTATTATAGAGAGAATGAAGAGTGGAACAAACTCCATAAGGTCCTAGCACCTAAGATGTTACGTCCGGGAGATATTCTAGAAAATCTTGAAAAGTTAAGCAGTGTTGCAAGAGACGCTGTTGACCACATGATGACGTTAAGGGGTTTGAATGGAGAAATGCCTGACCTTGAAGGAGAAATTCCTAAATATGTTGCTGAATGTAAGTTCTTTAAAGCACTACTCAATGATCAAATTTTTACCCCTTGATTTTCTAGGTTTATTTGCATTGAATTCCACGAAAGATCAAAAATGCTGTTTACCATTTGCAACTATCTGCATTGGTTTTGGTTAAAAGAAAAATGTGTAGAATATGCAAATGAGAGGACTGATGACATCATATACACTCAACCAAACATTACATCAAGTATATAAATAAAGATATCTGCCGCGGACACCATTGAAACTTGTTAGGCCACTAGTTCTACATGCAACATGTCCATTGCTATAAAAAGTTCTGTTCCCATGGCAACCCACTCTTTTCCAGTCTTCACCAACTGATTTTAATATTTTAATGATTTTCAGCTTGAAAACATTGAACAAGGCCATGAACGTGACCCAACACATATATGCTTCCTGGATCAGGATGCAGATGAGGCACTGGCCATGAGCAAATATCAATACTCTGAGCCACCTTAAAGGTTGCAAGAAAAGCCTTTAATATTGGGGAGGTCTGGAGCCTAGTATGTTGCCATGGGAACAAAAATATTAAGCTCATATTGTGGAGCATCTTTAGTAGAATCTTACATTAAAGAATCAAACATTTGTGTTACACATTGGCTGATATATCTTTGTTCATCATATTTGATCAAAATTTGGTTGAAATTATGACGACTTCACTTGGCCAATTTGCATATTTTAAAATAGTAAAAATAGTAAACAGCATTCTTCTCGTACAGACTACTTGTCTATGTTTTAAAATGGCTTAGATAGGAAAGATGCGATTTTCATCATGTAGTATAGCACTTCAAGTTGTTTTCTCAATCTTCTTGTAATGGTAGACAGACAAACAGACAGACAACTTTTATTTAAGCATGATAAAAAATTAAAGCTCAGTAGCTTTACTGGATTCGTGCATAACAAATTAAATTAAGCTGAATTTAATTTAATTTTTAAGTTGAAAACTTTGTACAAAGTATATACACGATAAATAAATACATGTCATCTAAAATTCTAATAACATATTAAGGTTTTACAAACTAAAAGTGGATAAATTAACTAATTCTGCCATTAAAATTAATGTACACATCTCTCTAAGGTATCCAGCATAAACAGCATAATTTAAGAAAAAAACACACTGGTAACCCATAACTGGACAGACATTCTCTCCCCATTGCTGTAAAGTATGAATTGAAAGGAGATTTCTTTGCTATCCAAAATTGATTTCTATTTCTTTTAAGAAAGACTAAGAGGAAAAGAAACAGGGATTTTAGCCTGTGTTTTCTTACAGGGTGTTGTCTAATACTACATACTATTTCTTACTTTTAATCTTATAGTTCTAGGTGCAGTGACACTTGATGTTAGGATTGGTTTGTATGATGACCCACCTAACAAGGAAACTCTCAAAATGCTTGAAGAGACCTGCAAGTTTTTTCCTTTCTTGGAGAGATTCGGTGGACTCTGGGAGGGCCTTCTTCTTAGGTTTGGGCTCAGTTCAACAACATACAGAGAATTCTGCCAAACTGAAGATAATGCTATAGAAATTGGCCAGAAGATCGTGAACCAGAAGGTTAAGGAGCTTAGTGTAAATGGGGAGGAAGAATTTGTAGAAAATCAAGGTACTAACAACATTACTTTCCAAGTTATGTTTAATAATTATTATTGAATAGATATATTTTCAAAGTGAAATGTGGCCTTGAGAGAAAAAAAAAAAAGATGTGTCATACTGTCCCATGGTCAGTAAATTGTATTTTCTGCAAAAGAGATAAAGTCTACATGAATGACAAGTGAGATTCAAGCTTAACAGCTGTACAGAGGAGCATCTGATCGTGTAAATGAATGCAGCATGGGCCTCCATGGACAGATACATATATTTTTCTCAGAGGACTGGATCAAGTATTAGGTATATATTTATTCAAACAAGAAAATAGCAAAATATTATATTAATAAAGACTGAAATGAATAGCTACACGTACAAAATTTTCAGACCAGTTTAAGCTATATTCAGGCCAGAATCAGACCTGAATTGCCTGACTGAGGCCTGAGCAGAGCCTGACAAAAGTCTACATACATTTTTCAGGTTTGGTAAAAGAACCATATCTTTGGTTGGATGCAGTTCAGGCCTGAATTCCGACTGAATAATTTCAAGACTGTGGACTGTGGATTATGGACTGCAGAATGCAGACCGGGGGTAAAATGCAGACTGAGGGTAAAATGCATGCAGACTGCAGACTACAGACTTTTTAAGTTTAAATCGTGTTAATGCATTATTGAATGCTAACCATAAACAGTTTTACTCAGACTACTCGTAGTGAAAGTTAGCCTGAATATTACTCAGGTTAGCCTGAAAAACTCTCTGGTTAGCCTGTTTATGGTTAAGCTCTCAGTGATAGAAATGGTAACATGATTCAGTTATATCAGCCTACAGCCTACAGTCTGCGTTTTATTCTTTGTCTGCAGTTTACCCCATTTCTGCAATCTGCAGTCTGCAGTCTGCAGTTTGCAGTCCGAAGTCTGCATTTTACACTGACCGCCTGTATTCAGACCTTACTTGGGCCTAAATAATTTCAGGCCTTAATTATAGCCCAATAGTAACATGAACAGAATGTAAGTTACTAAATAACACATGGTATTCTTAAAATAATGACCTGATCTATGCGATCACATCATAGTGTTTTGAAAGGTGGCTGATGTGTTAGGTACGTGCAACTTCAAAACATCGTTTTAATGATAATATGAAGACCTGATTTCTTAGTGTAACTTTATATTTCCTAATTTCCTGCTCAGTATTATAAAAAATATTAGATAATTGCAATAATTTGCTTTTGTAAGGTGAGTCCTTGCTGAGTTATCTCTTGACCAAGAGAAAGTTAACGCCGCAGGAGATAAACTTGAATTCTCTGGACATGCTTCGAGCAGGAATAAATACAGTAAGCAGTGCCCTTATTTTGTTAAGTCATTTAATTTAAGGAGCTGGGATAAGAGATTACTACTTCATTCCTGCCAACTCACATACCTTAAGTGTGAGTCTTACACCTGCAGTGACTCAAAAACTGTGATTTCCTGCCTACCCACTGCCTGCTGAAAAATTTGAGCCATGTGAAAATGACATGTTAACTTTATATGTGTTAAGATCACTGTTGTTATAATAATTATAATAATCACTTTATTTAAGTGTCGATGTATTTAGCACTAATGTGCTAATTGGGGACACTGTAAATAAATAAACAAATATTTCAAATATGGTTACGTATTCTAATAAATTGCCCCCTTTACAGTGAAAGTGAAATGGTTTGTTATTTCATCGGCATTTTATAGTAGCTAAAAGATATATTTTAATGTGTAAACAGTGTAGCACCCGATTATTAGTTTTGTTAAAGCTATGAACACCCTTTGGCACTCAAATAAAGTCTTTCATCCATTCATTGGAATATGAAGTTTCTACTCTGGTCTTGAAAAATATTACAACACTGGAAGGACTGGAAGAGAAATTTTGTATCCCCACATGGCCATGTAATATCCTCTATTCTTTAAATATTTTGGGATAAGGCTGAGTGCATGGTCTTGGCTCATGCTAGCTACAGCTCAAGATAGCAGTTCTTTTCAATATAATAATCATATCAATATAAATCCTTTTGAGTTAACAAAGGTTTACAAAAACACTATTGTTTTTGGATTTTTAGTATGCCTTAACTGTCCTGTGTGATTGTGATTTAACAATGTTAATTCTGTTTTCATTTAAGACATCCACCATTTCTTTGTGGTTACTTTATGATCTGGCATGTCATCCAGAGGTGCAGGAGAAGATGTATGAAGAGGTCAGCAGTCTGATTGGTCCTCATGGTGATTTTACTCCCATGACTTTTTCAAAGTTGAAATATGTCAAGGCTTGCATTAAAGAATCTTTGAGGTAAACGAATTACTAATCTAAGTGGGTCTATAAAGCAGGATGCCATGTCATGCTACCCCTTTTTTTTCCCAGCATAGTCAATCGAACGAAACCGAACCAAAAATCAATCAAACTCAATCGAACTTAATCGTTCGATTGGAGTTCGATTGGTTCGGTAACCGAACACAATGGAACTGGAACTTTTCGGTGTGTTCAATTAAGTTCGATTACCGAACCCAATTGAACTGAATCGACGCAATTGGTTCGATTTTGTTCGGTAGAAAAATAAAACGTCATACAAAAATTGATAATCATCAAGTCTCAATAGAATTGGAAGGATTTCACTCTTTAACCGAGTTTTAACTAGAGCAGCAAGTGTGAGAGATATTAGCATTTTTCAATTATTAAACTAAAATCTTTATTGTTTAGGTGACCATAAACAGGGAAATTTTATCAGATCTTTGTACATAACAGGCGGTGCTTCATGNCTTGGTCCAACTGTAAGTGATAATGATTCTAGAGCAGCCTGGATATTTAATATTTTTGTCGTTATGTCAGGCTAGGGACCTCATAAAGGTTATAATAGTACTCGAGAATTAGCACACATCCCGAACGCGTGCCAATATATTGAGACAAAACAAGAAACAAAACGTTGGTTGCCAATGGTTCCAGGATTTTCCAGCTGTTATTCTTAGATGGACCAATTCTGCCACTGTTCACCTGTTTATGCTGGGTCTGCCTAAAGGCCCGTCTACACAGGTGACTTTTGTCACAGCAACTCGATGCAATTTTTGTCGCGCTAAAATTGCATCAAGTTTCAAACATGTTCGAAACCCCTGGAATATCGTGGCGACAAATTGCACTGAAAATCGCACCTGGTTTACATGTGCGATTTTGAAGTTGCAACTTTAACGCGACAAAAATTGCATCGAGTTGCCGCAACAAAAATTGCCTGTGTAAATGGGCCTTAATGTGCAAGCCAGCGAGTTGTTTGAGTTACAGTGTGAGCTATGCGAGTCATGCGAGTTAGGGTGTGAGCCATGCGAGCCATGGTTTTAACATGAAAAAAATATTAAATAACGCTTTATATTTTTACTCATTGTTTGTACTTTTGACTCAAAATACAAAATACGACACAACTTGTAAAAATATACAGCGATACTATGCACCAAAACATCTAATAAGATATATATAAATAACACTGTATTTTAAACTAATACTGTATTTTAATACATGTATATACATGATACAAGTTACACTAGCTACATGTAGTGACAGTTTTAATTTGTAGATGATTCTAAAATGTGAATATATTCTAAAGTGGGTGACCGTATTTATTTTGTGTTATTTATTTATTTATTTATTGATTTAGTTTTTTAAGATCTTGAATATTATTTTTTGAAAGGAGAGCAAATTTTGAAGAAAACTACCGTCGCAGATGTGTGTTGGTAGTAAAACGATTTATCCCATTGGCATAATCAAGGTTCAGATGACATCAATATTGTATAGATTACATAACGCTATCGAAGTCACGCATTCTCTGTAGTCTTCAGAGTGTAGTGGAGACAGAGACATTCTTTGTTGTTCTTTGTGTTCTTGTTATTGTTGCCGCTACTCACAGTAGAAACAGTAGAAATTTTTTGGAGCCCCCGATTTCTTTAAACCTTCTATTACTTGAAGCAATCTTTTGGTCCCATTAGCAAAAGAGAGCCAAAAAAAGTTAGGAGAAATTTATCCACATCCCTATATATCTCAAACCATTTTTCGTTTCTCTGAGAGGTTAGTGAAATTGGGAATCCATTGTATAACTCGAACTGACTTACTCTCTTGAGTATTTTTTAGGTTTATTTTATTTAGTTAGTTACATACTAGCAAGGTGAGTGTCTTGCTTTGCAGAGTGCTGAAATATTTTGTTTTAAGTATGGTACAATATATCTTATATAAATACTATTTTTTTTATTTTATTAATTTTTTTATTTTTCATTTTTCATTTTTCATGACGCACCTGACTCGCATGGCTTGCACCCTGACTCACATGACTCACATGGCTCGCTGGCTTGCATATTAGTAAAACTCGTTGATGCTGTTGTATTGCAGGGGCCCGTACCATTAAGCCTTGACAAACTGGAAGGCACAAAGATTTTAAGTAGCTTGTTTTATATTCTAATAGTCCCTATGGTCAGGGTCCAGGAAACCCATTGGAAACTATTGGAGTGTTCTTGGTATCTTGAAACAATCACATGTTTCATCTGGTGGAGTCATCATAGTTTGCAGCCATTTTATACTGTCTGAGTTGCCTTAGGCCTTATTTATGTGGTCTTGGTCACCCGAGACAACCCTCCCCCCAGGTTACCCTCCCCCCAGGTTACCTTCTCTTAATATTTCTTTGCAAAATTCAACCAACTGTTTACAAGAGGATTGTGAACCCGTCTTGGGGGGTGAGACAACTCAGGTGGGTGAGTTGTCTCGCCTTGGCAGGTAGGGTAACCCTGGCAGATGGGACAACTTTTCTTCATATAAACACTTTGGCTTGCCTAACCGAGACAATTCTTGGCATGGCAAGTGTCATAAAATGTCTAGATTTAGGATTTGAAGCAGAAATTTGTATCAAAGAAGTGAAAATTAACTCCACAACTCCCACTTTGATTGAATGACCGAGGAAAGCTAAAAAAAGGGATATTTGCGCATTTGATTATTCAATGAGGGTTATGAATAATCATGGGGGGTCAACTTTGACTCGGACTACAGAGACAACATTTTCACATACAAATGCTTCATAAAGTTGCCTCAGGGGGAGGGTTGTCTTGGGTACCTGAGTCACTATAAGACTGATCAGTATGTCTTTTCAGGCTTCACTTTATCAAGTCACATACTTATCTCAAAGGTATCAGACAAATGGGAAATGGAAAACCTGAGTTTTTACATATACAAACTTTTACATGTAGCTGCAAGTACCTGACTATTGTGAAAACATATAATTATTTTATTATAGAGAGAATGAAGAGTGGAACAAACTCCATAAGGTCCTAGCACCTAAGATGTTACGTCCGGGAGATATTCTAGAAAATCTTGAAAAGTTAAGCAGTGTTGCAAGAGACGCTGTTGACCACATGATGACGTTAAGGGGTTTGAATGGAGAAATGCCTGACCTTGAAGGAGAAATTCCTAAATATGTTGCTGAATGTAAGTTCTTTAAAGCACTACTCAATGATCAAATTTTTACCCCTTGATTTTCTAGGTTTATTTGCATTGAATTCCACGAAAGATCAAAAATGCTGTTTACCATTTGCAACTATCTGCATTGGTTTTGGTTAAAAGAAAAATGTGTAGAATATGCAAATGAGAGGACTGATGACATCATATACACTCAACCAAACATTACATCAAGTATATAAATAAAGATATCTGCCGCGGACACCATTGAAACTTGTTAGGCCACTAGTTCTACATGCAACATGTCCATTGCTATAAAAAGTTCTGTTCCCATGGCAACCCACTCTTTTCCAGTCTTCACCAACTGATTTTAATATTTTAATGATTTTCAGCTTGAAAACATTGAACAAGGCCATGAATGTGACCCAACACATATATGCTTCCTGGATCAGGATGCAGATGAGGCACTGGCCATAAGCAAATATCAATACTCTGAGCCACCTTAAAGGTGGCAAGAAAAGCCTTTAATATTGGGGAGGTCTGGAGCCTAGTATGTTGCCATGGGAACAAAAATATTAAGCTCATATTGTGGAGCATCTTTAGTAGAATCTTACTTTAAAGAATCAAACATTTGTGTTACACATTGGCTGATATATCTTTGTTCATCATATTTGATCAAAATTTGGTTGAAATTATGACGACTTCACTTGGCCAATTTGCATATTTTAAAATAGTAAAAATAGTAAACAGCATTCTTCTCGTACAGACTACTTGTCTATGTTTTAAAATGGCTTAGATAGGAAAGATGCGATTTTCATCATGTAGTATAGCACTTCAAGTTGTTTTCTCAATCTTCTTGTAATGGTAGACAGACAAACAGACAGACAACTTTTATTTAAGCATGATAAAAAATTAAAGCTCAGTAGCTTTACTGGATTCGTGCATAACAAATTAAATTAAGCTGAATTTAATTTAATTTTTAAGTTGAAAACTTTGTACAAAGTATATACACGATAAATAAATACATGTCATCTAAAATTCTAATAACATATTAAGGTTTTACAAACTAAAAGTGGATAAATTAACTAATTCTGCCATTAAAATTAATGTACACATCTCTCTAAGGTATCCAGCATAAACAGCATAATTTAAGAAAAAAACACACTGGTAACCCATAACTGGACAGACATTCTCTCCCCATTGCTGTAAAGTATGAATTGAAAGGAGATTTCTTTGCTATCCAAAATTGATTTCTATTTCTTTTAAGAAAGACTAAGAGGAAAAGAAACAGGGATTTTAGCCTGTGTTTTCTTACAGGGTGTTGTCTAATACTACATACTATTTCTTACTTTTAATCTTATAGTTCTAGGTGCAGTGACACTTGATGTTAGGATTGGTTTGTATGATGACCCACCTAACAAGGAAACTCTCAAAATGCTTGAAGAGACCTGCAAGTTTTTTCCTTTCTTGGAGAGATTCGGTGGACTCTGGGAGGGCCTTCTTCTTAGGTTTGGGCTCAGTTCAACAACATACAGAGAATTCTGCCAAACTGAAGATAATGCTATAGAAATTGGCCAGAAGATCGTGAACCAGAAGGTTAAGGAGCTTAGTGTAAATGGGGAGGAAGAATTTGTAGAAAATCAAGGTACTAACAACATTACTTTCCAAGTTATGTTTAATAATTATTATTGAATAGATATATTTTCAAAGTGAAATGTGGCCTTGAGAGAAAAAAAAAAAAGATGTGTCATACTGTCCCATGGTCAGTAAATTGTATTTTCTGCAAAAGAGATAAAGTCTACATGAATGACAAGTGAGATTCAAGCTTAACAGCTGTACAGAGGAGCATCTGATCGTGTAAATGAATGCAGCATGGGCCTCCATGGACAGATACATATATTTTTCTCAGAGGACTGGATCAAGTATTAGGTATATATTTATTCAAACAAGAAAATAGCAAAATATTATATTAATAAAGACTGAAATGAATAGCTACACGTACAAAATTTTCAGACCAGTTTAAGCTATATTCAGGCCAGAATCAGACCTGAATTGCCTGACTGAGGCCTGAGCAGAGCCTGACAAAAGTCTACATACATTTTTCAGGTTTGGTAAAAGAACCATATCTTTGGTTGGATGCAGTTCAGGCCTGAATTCCGACTGAATAATTTCAAGACTGTGGACTGTGGATTATGGACTGCAGAATGCAGACCGGGGGTAAAATGCAGACTAAGGGTAAAATGCATGCAGACTGCAGACTACAGACTTTTTAAGTTTAAATCGTGTTAATGCATTATTGAATGCTAACCATAAACAGTTTTACTCAGACTACTCGTAGTGAAAGTTAGCCTGAATATTACTCAGGTTAGCCTGAAAAACTCTCTGGTTAGCCTGTTTATGGTTAAGCTCTCAGTGATAGAAATGGTAACATGATTCAGTTATATCAGCCTACAGCCTACAGTCTGCGTTTTATTCTTTGTCTGCAGTTTACCCCATTTCTGCAATCTGCAGTCTGCAGTCTGCAGTTTGCAGTCCGAAGTCTGCATTTTACACTGACCGCCTGTATTCAGACCTTACTTGGGCCTAAATAATTTCAGGCCTTAATTATAGCCCAATAGTAACATGAACAGAATGTAAGTTACTAAATAACACATGGTATTCTTAAAATAATGACCTGATCTATGCGATCACATCATAGTGTTTTGAAAGGTGGCTGATGTGTTAGGTACGTGCAACTTCAAAACATCGTTTTAATGATAATATGAAGACCTGATTTCTTAGTGTAACTTTATATTTCCTAATTTCCTGCTCAGTATTATAAAAAATATTAGATAATTGCAATAATTTGCTTTTGTAAGGTGAGTCCTTGCTGAGTTATCTCTTGACCAAGAGAAAGTTAACGCCGCAGGAGATAAACTTGAATTCTCTGGACATGCTTCGAGCAGGAATAAATACAGTAAGCAGTGCCCTTATTTTGTTAAGTCATTTAATTTAAGGAGCTGGGATAAGAGATTACTACTTCATTCCTGCCAACTCACATACCTTAAGTGTGAGTCTTACACCTGCAGTGACTCAAAAACTGTGATTTCCTGCCTACCCACTGCCTGCTGAAAAATTTGAGCCATGTGAAAATGACATGTTAACTTTATATGTGTTAAGATCACTGTTGTTATAATAATTATAATAATCACTTTATTTAAGTGTCGATGTATTTAGCACTAATGTGCTAATTGGGGACACTGTAAATAAATAAACAAATATTTCAAATATGGTTACGTATTCTAATAAATTGCCCCCTTTACAGTGAAAGTGAAATGGTTTGTTATTTCATCGGCATTTTATAGTAGCTAAAAGATATATTTTAATGTGTAAACAGTGTAGCACCCGATTATTAGTTTTGTTAAAGCTATGAACACCCTTTGGCACTCAAATAAAGTCTTTCATCCATTCATTGGAATATGAAGTTTCTACTCTGGTCTTGAAAAATATTACAACACTGGAAGGACTGGAAGAGAAATTTTGTATCCCCACATGGCCATGTAATATCCTCTATTCTTTAAATATTTTGGGATAAGGCTGAGTGCATGGTCTTGGCTCATGCTAGCTACAGCTCAAGATAGCAGTTCTTTTCAATATAATAATCATATCAATATAAATCCTTTTGAGTTAACAAAGGTTTACAAAAACACTATTGTTTTTGGATTTTTAGTATGCCTTAACTGTCCTGTGTGATTGTGATTTAACAATGTTAATTCTGTTTTCATTTAAGACATCCACCATTTCTTTGTGGTTACTTTATGATCTGGCATGTCATCCAGAGGTGCAGGAGAAGATGTATGAAGAGGTCAGCAGTCTGATTGGTCCTCATGGTGATTTTACTCCCATGACTTTTTCAAAGTTGAAATATGTCAAGGCTTGCATTAAAGAATCTTTGAGGTAAACGAATTACTAATCTAAGTGGGTCTATAAAGCAGGATGCCATGTCATGCTACCCCTTTTTTTTCCCAGCATAGTCAATCGAACGAAACCGAACCAAAAATCAATCAAACTCAATCGAACTTAATCGTTCGATTGGAGTTCGATTGGTTCGGTAACCGAACACAATGGAACTGGAACTTTTCGGTGTGTTCAATTAAGTTCGATTACCGAACCCAATTGAACTGAATCGACGCAATTGGTTCGATTTTGTTCGGTAGAAAAATAAAACGTCATACAAAAATTGATAATCATCAAGTCTCAATAGAATTGGAAGGATTTCACTCTTTAACCGAGTTTTAACTAGAGCAGCAAGTGTGAGAGATATTAGCATTTTTCAATTATTAAACTAAAATCTTTATTGTTTAGGTGACCATAAACAGGGAAATTTTATCAGATCTTTGTACATAACAGGCGGTGCTTCATG